GACAGGCGCAAATACATTCTTATAACTAAAAGAAAAATTATTTATTGTATATACCTTTTGATTATTATTTATTAATTATTGTGGTTTGATGTTATTTATTAATATTTTTTGTAGATGTGTAAATGAACTCTTTTTCTCTCTAAAGCCATTGTCCATATAATAAAAGAATGTTATATTACTCAATAAAATAGTTAAAAAAAGAAACTCTTCCATAGCTATTTCAAAATCTTTTAATACATTCATTTCGGGTTTGAAAGTTCGATTTCTGAATTCTTCAGAAACTTACTGGATTAAATTATAAATTATGAAATTTTAAATGAAGAATTACTGTTTACAGAATGTGGGAAGGTCAAATATGAGATTCAAAGGTATATTTCAAAACGATGCCGACTAAGTAAGCAAAATTGTGCCTAAAATAACTTCAAGAAAAACGCTTGTGATGTTTCGAATAAATATTTAAATGTTTGCGGGATTAAAGCTCAAAAGTTCGTACTCTATTTAGCATGAGAAGATGAATTGCCCAGCTTGTTTTTTTTCCCCCGAAGAGAGGCTTTTAAACCGGCGTTTTAGGAATCTAAACATTCCCGTTTCATGGTTAAACACTTAAATGCGATGATAACATATTTAAAACCTTTCTAAATGTGCGGATAGTATTAAGAAACCAATCCGAAGAAACCAAAATAGCACTCATTAATATTCTTAAATGACAAGACGACCGAGTCCATTAATAAGTTCATCGATTATTCTGACATGGCTACCTCTATATGTCAGTCTTTCAGGTCGGAGTAAAGTTCAACAAGGAACAAAGTCACTTGAACAGTGAATGTGAAAGTGCTCAATGAAAGTAAACATGATCCAATTGTATTATTAAGTAATCTAATCGAAAAAGATAAAATAAATAAAAAAAATAAAATGCCCTAACTTGGAATGAATTTTTATACTTTTACCTAATATAACTATCTAATACTGTGGAGAGAGGGTGATAGGTAGAGAGATAGAGAGAGACTTTTAGTTATTAAAAACTCTTATTTTTGTCCCCTATCCGTTGCCCTCTCCCTCCCTCCCCCAATGGCACCAGCGCCTGGGGGTTGTCCTAGTTGCCCCGACCACACGAAGGCGAAGTTGTCGGATTAATAAAGTCTGATTTTATTAATACTGATAATAAAAAATATTAGTTTCTGTATTTTTATTGTTTCATATCAGTCAATAAATAGTTCTATGTTGTGGCATGATGATATACGAGTATATCATCATCAAATACAAATATATTACATAGAATATTATAGAAGGAAGTTAGTCGAATGTTCTACATATCATGGGTGATAAATATTCAGGACGCAGTCATTATAAAGTTTTTATTAGTGCCGACGTTTCAAACCAAACATGTGGGTCATCATCAGGGTGTGTTTGGAGCACTGAAGTTATTCAAGTACACTTTAAAGAAAGCAGATGGTGCCATCAAAAAGAAGCCCTTAAATAGAATCCCCAAGGAACAATTAGAAGAGAAAGACGAAGAGAGACATGACGCAAATATGTGCAAAATGATCTGATCCGATCTGGCAAGACTTGTCCAGAAACGACTTGTACATACTTGCATTATGCATTGGATGTATTATGCTCCACCAGCAGTCGCCGATAAAAATAAATAATAATAAGTTATTTATTACCAGAACTGGAACTAGGATATTTTCCAGGAGGAGCAAGTTTAATTTTTCTGACCCTTTTATAACCCACCCCTCTCCCAAATGAATGCCAGCATTTTTATTATAATATTTTATCATGGGTGAAAAATATTCAGAACGCAGTCATTATAAAGTTTTTATTAGTGCCGACATTTCAACCCAAACATGTTGGTCATCATCACGGCGTGTTTCGAGCACTGAAGGTATTCAAGTACTACAATACCTATAACACATCGAGCACCTATAAGATTTCACTACTTGAATATCTTCAGTGCTAACAACACGCTCTGATGATAACAAACATGGGTTGGAACGTTGGCACTAATAAAAACTTTATAATGACTGCGTTCTGAATATTTGTCACCCATGATAAGATATTATAATAAAAACACTGCCATTCATTTGGGAGAGGGGAGGGTTATAAAAGAGTAAGAAAAATTAAACTTGCTCCTCCTGGAAAATATCCTAGTTCCAGTTCTGGTAATAAATAACTTATTATTATTTATTTTTATCGGCGACTGCTGTTGGAGCATAATACATCCAATGCATAATGCAAGTATGTACAAGTCGTTTCCGGCCAAGTCTTGCCAGATCGGATCAGGTCATTTTGCACAGATTTGCTTCATGTCTCTTTTCGTATTCCTCTTCTGATTGTTCTTTGGGGATTCTATTTAAGAGCTTCTTTTTGATGGCACCATCTGTTAAAGTGTTAAAGTTTTCATTTCTTTTTCCTTATTTCATGTTTATTTCGAGGTGGATAGGAAGCTGTTTAGTGGTACTTCGTTGATGATCCTCTCAGCTCACCAGATCTTCAGGATTCTTCTCACGCAGTGGTTGATGAAGGTCTGAAGAATAGGATTCAATGGTTTCAAACACCTTCCATGTTAGACCAGATTGATTTTGACCAAATTGATTTAGCATTGATTTTGAACTTGTTTTATTGGACAATTCCTTGTTCTTCTATATTGAATGTAGACTGAACAATCAATAAATACCTTATGGTATTAATCATACTTATTGCACTCAAAATTCACCTTCAAAATTTTTGAGGGAACCACATTTTTATGGAATAATGAAGTTTTGGAGGGAAACTACATCAATTTGGTGGATCAAGTGTCAATTTGGTGGAACTCTCAACAAGGGAGAACGAGGAATAAATCAAATGTAATTGTAAATAAAATACAATTGTTATATACTTCTTTCATTGGTGCTGTTTTTAAAAAGAGGAGAGCAATAATTCTTGGGAGGAGAAGTTAAGCTTCATTACCCTTAGGGAGGAGGGCAACCCTACGAACTCGTACTTTCCAAATTTCGTAACAATCTTTGTAAGCGTCCTTACACTTGTAAATTATATTTCTGTTATATATCAATTACTATATGCAAGTACTTTTGAAATCTTTGAAGTATAGTGAACTTAAGACCATAAGTGTAAGTAACTTAAATAAAATGCATATAGCTTTTCCTGATGTTAACTCTCCACGGATACTGAACCACAGGAGTTATCGCTCTTACTCAACGTTATTGGCCTTCGTGCGAGTGATAAGGTTGAGAAAGCAGCTCATGAATATTTTTCTTGAATTAAGACTAAGTGAATTTATTAGTCCAATATCATATGAAACAATTCAAAATTAATATATGTTTTTAGATTAACCTGTTAATAGTTTTCATTCAATTAGAGAAGTAAAAAAAACATTTATAGTATGAATTGATGAGGTATTCAAAAACCCATTACAAAATGCACTAAGCAATTGTGAACTATAATATGTAGCAAAGAATATGAAGAGCATTTGTGAAGTAATATAGACAAGAAATTCATGTGGTTGATACTTAATTTTCTGTTCCCCCCTTCCTCGCCTTTTAGGCTATACGGAGGTTTCCCAGACAAAGAGATGAGGGCGGGGCATCAATGCCGGAGTTAAAAGCCCCTTCTTGGCATCGGGACGCGTTTATTTTATTTTCTATAACTTGGGTAATCAACTTACCGGAGGTGCTGTGCACATATGTTTGCCTGTTCGGCCAACACTCATCCTTATGAGTTTGATACTATAAATTACCTTCAAAAAACATCCTGGAAAATGAAGGATCATTGCCGTACGCAGGACAAGCATTATATACATATAGTTATTTATTTCATCTTTTGAGTATTTCCACATAAGGTTCTTAATGAATTTGACTATTTTTGCTATTACAGGAAATTAAGATTTTCGAGACTTGTTCTATTTTAATTTAATACTTGAAAATAACGAAGATATAAAATTTATATCAATGTCTATCAACAAACTGATTGTATGACTTATTATCAACAATAATACATATAATTCAATTTGGCAGTTAAATGTAATAGCCTTTTCTAGGTACAGATCCCTTTTATCATATTATCAACATCCACTAAAACATCGTGGACAGTTTCATCATAACGTGTCCTACAAATTTTTCATCCACGAAAGTTCTCATAAATAGGGCGTTTTCTAATTTAATTAATTAATTTAATGAGGTAATAAATATTTATAAATACCCATTTTCTTTCCATCTGAAACGTAAAATAATTTGATTACAAAATCGAAAAAAAAAGATGTCCTTAAAAAATATTGGGCCGTATGGCCGGTATAACCTCGTTATTTTTATAAGTTGGAGTGGAGGCCACGCCAAATGGCCCTATGTTTTGAACCTTTTTTCTCGATTTTGTGGTCAAATTTTCTTAATTAAATAAACAAACGCATTACTGCTCCTTAATGCTAGTAATGCGGCTGAGAGGCGCTGGGTTCCTCTGGGATAACCTTCCTTCCACGAGTGCGAGGTAAAGGCTTGGCTCGGAGATCTTGAGTGAATTAATTTTTGTTAATATTGTATAAAAGCATGTGTGTATTTAAGTAGTTATTTTGACTAGCTTAGTTTCTTTTTGTTTAGTTTAGTTTCTTTTAGTTTATATACATTTACTTTTAGTATAATTATTTTGATATTTATTTATTATACATAGTGTGAATGAGCTATTCTGTTACCGCTATTACTAATGTCCTTAGATGTGACAGATTATAATTTATCTCAATAAAGAATTTTCGAGAAAAAAATATTAAATAAACAAAGTTTGCCAATCTCCGAATTGAAAACGCCACAGTTCGGAGAATTTTCGTAAATAAAAAGTTTCTGTTGCGATGAGATGAAGCTATTCACGAAAGTTTAGGCGGATTTTAATAATTTAATAAAAAAAGGTCTGTACCACTGCTTAACTACAGACGTCTCTAAACAATTTTAAACTATTTAATTATTTTTTTGTGTTGTTTCTATTATTTTGAATAATTTTATGATGGTGTTTTTCAGTATTTTCGAGAAAGCAGTCCTCTATTGCGATTCTTTCATCCAGCTGATACCATTGTCTTTTATTCTTGGTTTTTATGTGACCTACGTTGCGGATCGATGGTGGAAACAATACATGGCTATACCTTCACCCGATAAGTAAGTCGTACTAATGTATTGATTATGTATAAACATCGTTACATCAATAATATTATATGAAATGTAGCAATTATAAACAATAAATTAAATGTAACATCATTGAAAATCAGACAAAAACTAAATACATACACTTATCTATTCAAACCCATTTGGACAAACCCCTCACAGATTTACGGTATAGCAAAAAATCTCTCTTACAAAAACTAAAATATTTTTAATCTTAAATTTTAGACTAATTACTGCAGTCCTCTGTTACGTCAACAACAAAACTTTACATACCGATCTAAGATCACCAACTATTGACCAACACATACGTACTCTCTACTCCTGATTTCATCTTAAACTACACAGACATCACAACGGACTTATCAACGACATGGCCACGGCTGACATGCTCATCAGGAGGCGACTAAAAAGGAGTGAATGAGAGATCTCCTTTCCTGATTTAAGGATGTAAACAGATCAGGGAAGAGGTGCTGCTGGGTACTGATCTTCATAATTCCTATCATGCCATTTTGTAACAACAAATCCGCTAATTGTCACTATAATGATAGATGCAGATGAAGATTTGAAGATAAAAAAATATAATAATAATTGCTGTTGAAAGTAAATCAATAGTACGAGAAACTGGTAGGAGCGCATTAGAATGTGAAACTACATTAATTTTAAGTAACCGTTACAACTCCAACATGTTCCCAACAAAACATGTTTAGCAGAATGTTTATCAAGAAAAAAAAAAATCAATCTTGTACAACATTGATACAGAGGAGCAATGGACTAAATTAACTTTTCTCTACCACTGCTAAAAAGAGGACGACCTGGGAAGAGATGGTTAAAGGATGTAAAGGAAGACTTGCCAGAGGTCTTCCAGAAGGAAACTGGCTAGACCGAAAAAAGTGATTGGAACTTTTGGGAACTTACAACTATATGTTGTAAAAAATAGTTAATAAAAAATATTTTTAATTATATGTATATAAGTAATTCTACGAAAGGTGGCCTTTTCTGTTCCAAAGCCATTTTGGTGGCTTGAAAAAAAAAGTTTGTGTAAAGCTTGAATATGCTTATTTAATACCGTTTATACTAGCAGCAAACGTTCTCTACTTTATTTTTATATATTTGCAATACTAAAATTTATTAATTTTAGGGGACTAGATGTTCGAGAATAATGCTATTTTTTTTATGTTAAAAACTTGGTCAAAACATTATTTACAAAATATTATAAAATAATGTAATACGTATTATAATTGTAAATTTATTATATAGGAAATTCTATATGGGTTTATTGTTTCAAACAACTGTATCCAACTAATGAATATAGTTTTAATAGGTTAGACAGATTTTTCAAATAAAGGAACAAGTACCTGAAGCATAAGCGTGCTAACGAAGAAATTCGTCTCATCTACTTATAAGCTATATCAACATTTTCATTTAGCTAATGTAGTTGAACTTTTCTGCTGTGAAAAAGAAGTGGGTTCAGATTATTATTTGCGCTAGACGTTTTCCTCTCAATCTAGGTTTTTGATATTGATTTCGCAATTTATTTCGAATAAAAGTCTTAAATTTATAATTAAGACGTTCAGTGTCAAAACGGGGCTTCGATATCTCATAAAATCGTCTATTTCCGATTAAAAAAAAACTTACCAAACCAAGCAGCAGTACTTATGAATGAAGGTGAAGGATTAATACTTGACAGTTTTATGTTCATAATATACTTGTAATAATTAATACTAATAAATTATATCATTGGAATGAATAGAAAATAAATGTATTGAGTTTATTCAAGCTATTTATGAGAGGATTGCTCATACAGCATATTAGCAGAATATATCGACTATATCGAAGTATACCAAACTTTTAATTATTTTTTGTTAAAAAATTATAATAAATTTGGCTAAAACAATGTGTTTTGTAGGATAATGCACGCGCTAGCTCTCTACGTTGGCTCCAACGACGAAGACAGCCGTATCCTCCGAAGGACTCTGATACGCTACCTGAATTTGTCCTTTATCTTGATCCTGCGTTCCGTCAGTTCGGCCGTCATGCGGCGTTTCCCGACCTTGGACCATCTCGTCGAGGCAGGTAACTAACTTGTTAGACACCAGGTTTCCTGAAATATTAAACTATTAATGACAAAAAAATCATTGCATCCTATGGACTATAATAATAGCATGAATCAGAGAGGTTGTGATGTTATACATTTATCCCATGATTTATTTTGGAACCCAAAATTTATTCCATAATCGATCCATATTGGAAATATCAAGATGTATTTAGTGTCTTGAAACAAATTATAGCTGATCCACGCTCACTCTGAATCCACAATCACTCTGAATCAAATACTTTCTAAATGAACATTTATCGTTGCCCCATTGTTGGAAAATAATTTTTCACTAACGGTTGTTCAACGGTTAGAGTTGGCCACTCAAACAACAGTTTCCTAACAATCATTCCTCAACTATGTCCCAAGTACATAAAATAACGATATTCCAACACAGGGGTGTCCAGAAGGGGGTTTAATGGCGCAAGTTGAGCCATCAAATTTTTTGAGGGGGGTATATTTTGACGGGTTTTTGAATTTTGAACGGGGGTGAGGATTTCGACAGGATTATGAATTTTCGGACTAAGGGACATGGAACAGGCTGCAGCAAATGTAATTGTATACAATCTACGATTTTTTAAATTGCTCTATTTTTAAGAAAAGGTGTGCAGTAAAATATCTTGGGGGGAGGGAGGGAGTAGGTTCTTGGGAGGGGCCCCTGCCAACCCCTGGTCCAACATAGTTTTTCAATCTAATCAACCATCTCCCTTCTTCTCCTTTTTCATCACCCTGTAGCGCCTTTCAGCTTAGGGGAGAGTCTAACCAGGATTGCCAATTAACCATCTACCTACCAGAATTATTATTTATCAGGATTTACAATTGTGACTTAAGTGAAGATAAATCTTTAAAAGAGCTTAAAGTTCTTAAGCTTAATGTTGTATAATAAATACATTTGCCTGTAATTAATGATAAAATTTGTGTATCAACATTATTTTTGCATACAACTTACGTTGCAGAAACTGTTTTAAAGAAATAAGCTGACAAGGTTCATATCTATGTTGTCTCTAAAATGAAACAATTAAACAGACACAAACGCACAGATCTAAATTTTTAAAGGAACACATTGTGCATTTGCCCAAAGCTACAGTTTTCAAAAGACAGGTGAATGTTAGGTATGGAAGTAATAGGACAAAAAAAAAAAAAAAGAAATGAAAAACTGAGTTTTTTATAGTAAAAATTTGTTACATTACGTTTACAAACATTGCAGATGATTTTATTAACAATTAGTCTTTGTCCTTTGTTTTTCCTTATTCTCCTGGTTGAATGATAGAAGTCAATTTAAATATTAAAGAAAAAACCTGAGAGACTTAGATGAGGACAGCAAGAGGATCCGAAAGGATTTCCAGATATGAGAAGTCTAGCATGTGAAAGATACTTTCTGGATAAGTAGACTGGAAATCCAACTCCATGCTTAGCAGTTTATAGGCTTTTGATGAAGAGGAAGAACTGGTAAAGATGCGTTGGTTTTACAAAAATTATCTTTTAAAAACATGGATTTCTCAAAAATTCATAATCCAGTAAAATTTTTCCTCTCCAAAAATCTGGATGGTGGCAAAAATCTTGTATCATGTGCTGCCCTTTGGGACACTTCGGCACTAAAACCTCTTTCTAACTGGTGTTTAATAATTCCACATTTATATTTTTGAAGTTAAATTGCTGTTTTAATTTTTTTCAGTTTGATCCATCAGCTTTTCTTTTACTCTGAATGCCTCATTAGCTTTTTATTATACTTATGAATGCCTGAAGACTAAGGAACCTTAAATTGATTATTACTTAAATTATTTCTAATAAAATAAATATATCAATTTTAACTTTTAAGATCCAAAATGCAGGTAAAATAGTGACATTAATAAATAAAGTAGTAAGAGAGCAAAAAAAAAATTATAATAAGATATTTTAAATCAATTAGTGCAAATATAAGTCAACTATTTTTAGTATACCTTTGTCCAATTAAACTTTTTTTTTTTTTTTTTTTTTTTTTTTTTTTTTGTTCTTCCCTACCTCGCCTTTTAGGCTATACGGGATTTTCCCGGGCCGGGGGGTGAGGGCGGGGAATTTAAAATCCCCTCCGTCACCGGGACGCGAACTCGTACTTTTTATATCATCTCAATTCTATGTTATCCGGTTGCCAGGCAACTAGCGGTGCTGTGCACACGCTTTAGCCTATTCGGCCACCCCGCCCCCATCTAATTGTCCAATTAAACTATGTATTTAACAAATAAATTTAATTAATTTCATAAATTGCAGGATTCATGACAAGAATAGAATTAGAAATGTTCACAGCAGTACCCACAACAGATATAAATACATATTGGTTTCCTTGTTCATGGTTTATTTCCGTACTAAAAGATGCATGCAGTAAGAACAAAATTAATGATGCTTCTGGTCTTAAGCTAATAATGGAGGTAATATTTATGCATCTTTTAAAATTTGATGTAATTTAGCAAAATAATGTGCATGAAAACGTTTGAGTGTTGTACAGTCTTCTACAAAAGTGTTTGGAGTGTTGATATGATCTGAACATTTACTTAACAATTCCAATATTTGTTTCTTTTAATAATAAATGTTCAAAATAAGTTAAAGTTTCAGGGGCTGATAAAAAGTCAAGAAACCTGTTGTTTTTTTTATTTATATATTTTGTTATATCCTTTCTAATGCCCACAATTTTATAAATTGAAAATGTATCATTAAATTCAAATGTAAAAGCAATGTGTTTAAAAAATGTACTAACGGTGCTGAAAAACAAAATTGATGACTGACATACATACCAATATTAAGTGTAGTTATGTTTGTAGTTCAATTAAATGTAATTAATATACTTAAAGATGCAATTTAAATAATTTTAAATTTTTATTTGTAACAATCAAAGGAATTCAATGAGTTTCGTTCTAAATGTGGGCTTCTCTGGAGTTATGATTGGGTTTCCATTCCATTAGTGTACACTCAGGTTTGTTTATATATCTAAATAAAATTTTTATTATAATTAAATCTTTATAATTATATGCATTACTAATATCAATCTTATTGTTTAGGTTGTTATGGTGGCAACATATTCTTTTTTTCTGGCAGCACTAGTTGGGAGACAATATGTTAATGAATCTAAAAAAGTACCTCAAATGGAAGTTGATAAATATTTTCCTGTGTTCACAGTTTTGCAGTTTTTATTCTATATGGGGCTTCTAAAAGTAATTTTAAAACAATATTTATTTATTATTCACAATATAGATTAAAAAACGATTGTTTATTTAAAAAAATTAAGTTTTAGAAGTTCTTCAATAGCTTCATGAAAATACTCTTCTTCTACAGTTTCTATAATAATAAGGAAAGTTCATTTTTTTTTTCAAACTTGTTGATTTAAAATTTTTAAAAGAGATTGTGATATTCATTGTATTCATTCACAAGGCAAGATCACAGTCACTGGGTCAGCGATTTCAACCAAATTTTTTTGGGATGGTTCTACCTTCAAAAATATTGGAAATTGTCTTTGTATATTGGAGAACGTTGCAATGGGCTGAGAGAAAAATGTAATGATTTTTAAAATTATATTTTTCATAATTGTTTACACCTATTATCCTGCATCTAAAAAAAAAAAATACACTTTTTATAAAACATAGAATTAGAAAAAAATATGCTCAGAAGCTTTTTAATGAGCTTAAGCCACAGAAAAATAAAAAACCAATCCTATTGTTAGTTACCCTCAAATTATCAAAATTCAACATTTAATTTTAATCAGTAATAAAGAAAGTGGTTAGTTCAGTGGGCAAGGCATTGTGCTCCTATTTTCAAGAGCTCAGTTGGTGTTGGATGTGGTAGATATTTATTTTTTCTGTTTCATCAGCCCTCGATCAACCGATGGGTTAGGAGATCATCCTGGTGCACACATAGCTTCTATAAAGTGGGTACTGTTAATTAACTAATTGATTAACGGAAGCAGCATGTGGTTGAGCATGATTCCAGGCCCAACCGTTTGAAAAAAAGTGTTTGGTTCATGTTCAAGAATCACAATAATTTTTCTGTGTGACAAGTTTTTACCTTGGTAATTATTAACTAATGAATAAATGTGTTTTTCGCCAATAAATATTTTTTATTGCGTAATTTATTTTTTATTTAATTATTAGTGACTAACATTTCTAAGTTTATTATCCAAGGAAAGATTAAAATTTGTTTTAAAAAATTTAAATAAAAATAATTTTTCATTGATAATTATTTAAATAATTTTTTCGATATGCATATTCTAAAATTATTCAGTCATACTCTAAAATTATCTTAATTAAATTTGCAATGAACTGTTTCTTTGGTTTTACATAAATTTTCTTCCTAAATTTTACTCATCCTGAAAATATTACATAATTTAAGAATCTAATAAATGTGATTGTAATTTATTTTTCAAAAAAAAGGCATAACAATTTTATTGTTCTATATCCCTTCCATGTTTTGCTAGTACCCTCTCCTGATCCTCTGGCTCCTGCCCGGCTTTCTCTTCTAATAAAAATTGGATAGCTACACAAATGTGTATACAAATATTTGAAAAACAATTTTTTTCATATGGTTAGAAAAAAGAAGTAGGGACTAGTTAAGTTACATCAACACAGGCTATTCAATGACAACCTCTGTCAGTGAAGAGGTTTTTAATCTGCAAGACCATACACACCAAAATTGCTCTGAAATTAAGAGAAAATATAATACATTAGGCTAAAAAGTTTATAAAATAAAACTAACTCCGGTACCACTATAACTTTTATGGACAAATCTCCAACAAAAATATAAAACAATTTTTTTCACTTGCCGGTGAGAATAAAATTTGTTAGCAGATTTTAGTAAATACATTGCCCAAATAAAAATTTGTTGATATAGTTGGCAAGATGAATTATTTCTCTCTCTAATGATGACAAGAATATATATATATATATATATATATATATATTATATATATATATATATATTTAGACAAACATATTTGACAAAATGAATTTTATTATTTACTTGAAAATGTAAGAGATTTTTTCTTTAATTCTGAAAACAAATATAAATTTTTTTTTTTAACTTCTTAACTTGAAGGGACTACATTTTTTTTTTTTTTTTTGTAGTCTAAGCTTGTTAAAATTTCTCAAGCATATTTTTTGCAGATGCAAAATAATAGAAAAAAAAATTATGAACAGAATTATTTAACATTTTATCACAAATATATTGATAATATAAAAATAAGTTGTGTTTAAAAACTTCTATGTGCTATTTTTCCATTAACTGGTTATCATTGTTGAAACATATTTCTTATTTGATTATAGAAACAGTTATTGCATGGTATATTAAACAAAAATAAAAATAAGCTGTTCAAAGAATTATAAATATATTTTATCCAACTAAATTGTACATTTTTTTTTTTTCGATTCAGTATCTTGATTTGTATAGTAGTATGAATTCCCTGTTCCAACTTAATAAAACTACTTAGTATATTAATTAAAACTAGTTAGTAACTTGATTAAAATACTTAGTAAATGATAGCATGTTCACTTAATAGAAGTTAGAATAAGAGGAGTATTATCTTTAGATATTAATTTCTTCAGCATTGAAACTTTTTCTTGTTGTTACCAAACTTGTATCTATTATTGGAGAAAATATTCAATGCAAGGAAAGAAAAAAAATCTTCATCAAGATCAGCTGCCTGTTATTCAGACTTCTACTATAGTGATTTACTGTCACTGCTTGTTAGTCTGTTTAAGAGAAGAGAAATTTACGATCTGTAGTCAGCATTAATATGGCGTCATTTATAGTAATCTGCTGTTTAAGAGACTACAGGTTTGCTTGGAAATAAGCAATAATAACCTGATTATAATTTTTTCTTACATTGATTATCAATGTTTTTAAATTTTATATAATTATTTATTATTTTTTTTTTTTAGAACTAAAAATTCATTCCTAACTTTTTTTCTATGAAATTTCATTTAGAATTAAAATATTTTTTGAAAATTGAAACATATAGAGAGATGGGTGATTTTATATATTTTTACAATACAGAAAATTGATAAAAAAAGTTAATCATTGATTTTTATAGGTTGCAGAACAGCTAATAAATCCATTTGGTGAAGATGATGAAGATTTTGAGCTTAATTGGCTCATCGACCGACATACTAAGGCCTCCTATCTAGGAGTCGATACACTTCTCAAGAGGACTCCACCCCTTGTTAAGGATAAATATTTTGAAGAAATAAATGTGGTTCTTCCATATACAGGTTCCAGAGATTCTTTCAAAAGAAGGATAATACACAGAGGATCAACTTATCGAATGAAGTTAGTATCAGGGGGGGGGGGGAAAAAAAGAAAAGATTTAATGACATTCTAAAATTATATTAGTGTAAATAGTTTTATATTAGTGCCTATAAAATAATTCTTAGATAGGTAATGGGAAAGGCAAATATTATTAATGAAAAAAAAAAAAGGAATATAAGCATTTATTAAGATTTTATATAATTGATGTTGATAACATATAAAATTGTTTAGTAATAACAATTTTTCCGACAACTTTTCAATTTATTCCATTAAGATAAAATCAATTTTTTTTTTCATGTTTGTAGACAGATGTATGAACCAGATGGAAAAATTATATAATTAAATTTAATGAATTTATTTTCCATAGTTATAGACATAATGTATCGTAAGGGGTGTCTTTTATATGAGACTATACCCTCACTTTGCAACTGTTATAAATTTACTTATTGCTAATATATCTAAGTATGGCTCACTTAACCGATCTGGAAATGAAGAATATAAATATAAAAAAAAAATCTTCAAATTGAAAAGAACTTGGATAAAAAAAAATTATAATCCCTTGGCGACTCCTTCAAAAAGGCTTGTTCATTATATTTGTTTCTTGTTTACTATTTTAATGTTTATCCATCTTTAACTTAATTTGTGACTTTGGGAAAGGAATACCATGTTTTTTTCAGTTTCTTTTCTAAGTGGATATCAAATTTAGTTTGGTAATTAACTTTAATGTATATAATTGTGGATTTATGATAGACTGTAGTGAATAATTGAAGAGAAGGATGTTTGGGGTGATCAGTCAAATTGAAATGATAAAAAATAAATGATAATTTTATATATTTTTACAACTGCCGATGGCCGGAAGTTCAGGCCTTCATCAGGATACTTCTGTACAAGAAGTAAAGTTAGACAAACGTGTTTGTTAGGCATTTTCTCACTTTACTTCTTGTACAGCAGCTCTGATGAAGGCCTGAACTTCGGGCCGAAACGTCGGCGAATGTAAAAATAAATAAAATTATCATTTATTTTTTATCATTTCAATTTGACTGATCACCCCAACCATCCTTCTCTACAATTTAATTTATATATTTTTTGTTTTAATGTAACTATATTTTATATATATATATATATATATATATATATATTTTTTATGTTCCTAAACCTAGTTTTGTTCTTATTAATATAGAAAATCAGAAATATTGACTTTCATCTTTCTTTTTTTTTAAACACGACAGTTAACTTCTTTTTTTTAATGTAAACAACAATTATATTTATTTTCAAACAAAAAAGAATTTATTTTTATATATATTTTTTTTATTTCCTTGCCTGAACAGTTAAGTATTTTATATTTCTCAGTACATTGGAAAAGAATAATTTTTGTAATTTTCTATTACTGTTCTTTATTCATAATAAATTAGCCTAAATAATAGTGTATTTGGGCAATTTAATTGCATAATTTAAAACTTTTTGATGTATGTTTACTTGCTATGTTTTAGAATTTTTGCCAGGATAAGAACAAATAAGTCCCATTTTAACCTTAAAAATCCAAAAATAATTTTTAAATATTATATATTAAACAGACCTCAGGAAAAAGTCTCTTTATCATTAAGACACCTTACCTATTAAAAAACGTTGACATTGTAACAAGAATTAGCTTTTCAAATTTGAGATATGTAGCGAGGAACAAACCAATCATAACAATGTTCAATGTGTGGGTGGAGAAAGGGAAATAAAATGCCATGCATAAAGTAGTAGCTCTTTCATAAGTTTATTACCTATAAAATAAAATAACTAGTTGGGCGATATGAAAAATTCGCATAGTATAAAGGCCAGTGAAAAAATGGCAATTTATTACGAAAATACACAGTTCTGCACTCAATATTTAAATTTAATTCAATTGTTAAAAAAATTTAAGAAGCAAATTAACAACAGAATAATGGCTGGAAATAGAGTCTACTTTGCAAACCTTAAACTTTTCAAGTCTCAATTGTTATCAAAAGCTACAAAATTAAGGTAGAGAAAGAAACACTTTATTTTCATAATAGAGTGTTGCCGAATTATATTGGTTACTAAACACACAGGATACTTATTAATTACAATGGACAATCTTTAAAACTAATATATAAATATACAAAACCATTACAATATATATGAAGATAGTAAACTTATTTATTTTTCTTTATTCATATTAGTTATTTTATTTTTTCATAACGACCCGTAGTCACCTATGGAGCAGAAACCTGGTATTTGTTGCAAGAAGATTGCCGTAAACTAAAATTATATGCTTATTATCTAAAAATACCTGTTTCATCAGAATTTTTCAACTAAAATATTTATTTAAAAAATTAATTTTTTATTCTCTGTAAACTGAGTTAGGTTTATTACATTTGTTGGCTTCATTGGTATTTATAAAATAGATACCTGTAGTTTATGAGTAGTTATGAGTAGTTTATGTATATGCACGGGCCAGAAATACCACTAACGGATCTAATGGAGAGCTGTTAAAAATTATTTTTATAACATTAACAATTTCTAAACCAGTATTATTAACTTTAATTCACACAATCTTGTTATTCAATTTCCATTTATTTATTTAATGTTTTGAATTTTTGCAGGAATGATGAATTTTCATTATAAATACTTTCTTTAAATCATATAAAATTTCTATGATTAAAATAAGAATCTTTGAAATTTATAAACTAGTATATTTCTTATTTACTTTTAAAATTATTATTATTTAAAACTACTTTCCTCAAAAAATTAAGACAAATTACGATTCATCTTTATATATTTGTTATTATTATTGTCTTTAAAAACACGTTTTTACACATTTTAAACCATATTAATGCTGACAACATCCAAATGTATCTGTCCTTTCCACCTTCTGATCTATTACAAGCCACAGAAAAACTTTATGAGAAAAGACTTAAATAGAATCTGGGACTGGGTAGAGGCTAATAAGTCAGAAGATAAAGACAGGAAATTGTAATAGACTCCAATAACTTCCTTAAAACTGTTCCTAATATTCCAATCTTGTACCTAAACAATAATTTCATCAGATTTTATTCTAATATTGAAAACCTTGTAATAACTTTTGATCAAAATCTTTTCTGGAAAAACCATGCATCCATTATCTCCCACTGTGCCTTTTCCACATTAAAGCAATACAATTTCCTCCATCACCTATCTCCATTCGAAACCCATAAGGTTTTGATTACTTCCTTGATATTATCCCACTTTGACTACTGTTGTGTGCCATATGTTGGTGTCTCTGGGGATCTTGAGGCTAAACTAAAACGATTGATAAATTGCTTTTTACCTTTCATCTTTAGGATCCCCATGGACACCTCTGTCTCTCGTTTTTGTGAAGAGTTGAAGTTACATTATCCATCCTAACATTGTAAGTATTTGATGGCATTCTTACTCTTCCAAGTTATCCGATCCTGCCTTAATCATGCATCTCTTAGCTCCTTCAATTCAAATCCTTAATTCCTTTCCGCAATACCAAGTCTTCAGATCTATATACCACAACTCACTAAACCGCAGAATTATTTTATGATAGTATCATATTTTTATTTTATATTTACTAATATTAGAGTTTGCGACATCATTTCTCATTATTTATATTTTTTTACTATTTTTATGTTATTTTTGTTGTTACTCTGAAGTCTTAAAACTTATCATTTTGTACTTGTATATTTTTCTAAAGGGACTTATCTCAGATTAAATAAACAGTTTAATATCATCTTTATTATTCTTGCATTTGCGGATTCGAAGCTAAAGGTAGGATAGTTCTAAACACCTACAGATATTAATTTTTTTTATTCTGGCTGTGTCTAAAAGAACCTTTGTTTAAAGAAAATTGGTTTAAAGAAACTTGCTGAGCATCTCATGGAACGCCAAGGGGCAACTCCAAGCCATCGGTACCGTGCCACCATTGTATTTAGAATAAGACCATTTCAATTGCCAATTCCTGATATTTTCTGAGTTTTTCACCCACATTTGTGGTTATATTATTGTTATTATTAGGAATCGCAACATCAATAAGCTTTACTTTCCTTGTTCCAAAATCTATAATGAAGTTATCAGGTCTATTGCGATGCACTGTGTGGTCCATGATAATAGATTTGTTCCAATACATCTTGAAGGCAACTTTCTCAAGTAGCCTATTGAAATTATATTTATAATATGGCACCTTTTCATCCAATCGATTTAAATTCATCACTGGAGCCTAGTGGAATATTTTCACCATACAATTGTGCCTCTGCAGATACTCCTTACCAGATAGCACTCCACATCTAGTTGGGATATGCTGGATTGATTCGAGCATCATTGAGCACAGTTGACATTTATCAGGTGTTGTTGTGTCTTTCAGTAATTGTTGCAGTTGTCTTTCTGTATGACCTAGTGGCAAAGTCCTGATCCTGAATTGCAATTCCAAAGCTTCCTTTCTCAGAGAATAGCCTTCCAGCCATTAACCATTCCACTGATCTTTCTTTGTCTACGGAGGTTTCATCAATTAGTTGTAGAATCTACCATGTAGTACCTTGCTTTTACATTCTATTATTATCATCATCTTTTTTTTGCTTCTCTTTCTCAGATTTCTGGAATAGCATCCACATCCCAGAAAAAAAAACTCAAGGAAATGTAGATGAATGTAAAAATATTTACTTATTTAGAAAGTTTTTAACAATTCTGCACTTATCTAGCAGGACTGATTAAACCATTAGTCAATATTAGTCCAAATTAACATTATTATTAGTATTTTGTATAGGAGTGCCAAGAGGAGGAGGGGGGGGGACCATCAAAATTGTTGAGAGGGGCACGTTTTTACGGGATTATGATTTTTCAGAGTGGAAAGCTTCTATTCAGGGAAACAGGAGAAATTCTTGTTTAATGTTTTGTTTATTGTCCTTAAAATTCTGTTTAGTATATCCTATTGTATGCTAAATATGAAAAATTGAAATCTATATTCGTTGAATCTCTATATACAAAAGTCCAACTGTGTAACTATAGTATATAATTTATTATTTTCCATCATACATTAGCTATAGAATGTTTCTTAAAAAGATCATAGTATATATAATCAATTATTATATGGTTAGAAATAGCAAAAAAGAAAGACAAATGAATAAAAAATAGATTAAAAAACAAAAAAAACAATGAATGAAAAAAGAATAAATAAGAAGAATATTTGTAACAATGTACAAAGAAAATCATAGAGTAACCGATTACTGGAATGAAATAAACTGTAATTTAAAATGAAATTATATTAAATAAAGAATACAAAAATAAAATAAAGAAAAAAGTGTACACATAAATCAGTTTAAAAAAGGGAGAGATGAAACAATTTTGACAGTTTGATGGTGATATTCTAATTGGTCCTTAAAAAAAAAAAATGACACAATTGTGTTCTACGATTCCATTAAAAAATGATCAGGCATTCTTGCATGGCTTTTCATTCATTCGTTTTCTTCTTCTCCTTCCTGATGGATGTAGTACTTTTTTTCCATAAAAATAAAATAAATTAATAAGAACAGCCTTTACAAGGTTATACAATCTTTTCTCTTAAATCTGTGCAGATTAACTGTACAGGTTTCCAATCTGTTATAAAATGAATGCCATAAAATGGTAGTGAGGTCTGGTTAATAATTTATTTGTGGGTCAAGAATTGATGTCTAAACAAGTATAGCAAAAGAAAAATAAATAGTAACTAAATGTTTTATTCTATTATAATTATGATTATTGAAATATAGGTACAAAATATATTTTTATATACAGTTTTATTTTTTTGTTTTATTTAGAATTCCTAAAAATAAACAAGTCATGTTTCTACCTCAAACTACCAATGATGAAATCGATAGCAACCAAGGAAAAAAACCAATTACATCAATATCTGGTAAGCACATTAGACATGGATCAGTTGGAATTTGGGGGTAAGTCTCTAAACAATTCATAAAATTGTTTTTATTATAATATTTGTGGTTTAAAGGAAAATTTCCATGGCAAATTATAAAAATGTAGAAATTGCTTCATTTTTAAATTATAATTTAGTTAAATTAAATTAATTACATTACAAAGGGAATGGACTAGGTTTAATCCCAAATCCATAACACATGTATTTGACGTTTACATTGTAGTAAACATGAAATAATATTAAAAAATAATACATAAGTAAATAGTATTAATATTAAATTAATACAACAAAGAATGATCATATTTGAGCAATGCATCTTTTAACTATGAGTCGTTTTACTATTAACTATGAGATTAAATCCAGCTTAGAACATTGTGGGGACTTGAGTTGTATGGGTGAAAGTTTAATTCTGACCTGTGAGATTTAACTATAAGTTTTATCCAATTAATTTTATTGCATACCTTCAAAATAAATCTCAAATTATTTTTTAGATTATCTACCTTTTGTGATCCACTGGTTGTAAGTAAAGGGGATTAAATACAACTTATAATAATTATAATTTTAAGCATAGATTTTATAAATATTGATTTAAAAATAATTTTATTCTGTTACAGACAAAATATAGGACACATTGACATTGAAAAAGCAGATTATAATGAGGTTGTAGCTTCGTTTCAAATACATTCAGGGGTTAATATCAAACATTTCTTCAAAAGAAATGGCACCATCCATAAATCCAATGCTGAAGATAAACCTTTTGAGGTTTCTCGAAAGAAACGTTGGCAATGCAGGTCTTTCAATACGACAGTTGATAGCTACTGTTCTACAAAAAAATTTGTTAGTAACACTTCATTTGAAATATCTCCAGAAACTGAAAAGAGTATTGAAGAAATCAGAATGTCACAGAGGAGAAAATCATTGAGAAGCTCTTCAGTGGATTTATCCACACAAAATATTTTGAGTAGCAAAGTATTGCCAAGAGACCACAACCAATCGAAAAAAGTTAGATGGAAATCTAATTCAAAAGATCTAGAAGGAGATTTCTTGGGAGACAATCATTTATCAAATAATGAAGAAAAATCAATCATAACTTTACAGAAACAAGAGAAAAATAAACAGATTGATCCGCTGTGGCTTATGATAGATCCGTCAAAGGCCACTACAACCTACTCTGATTATAAATTTTGGAGCAATAACAATATATACTGTCCTTTTAGCAACAGTTTACCAAATTTACATCTGTAAATATCATCTTGCAATGAAGCTTTGATTTACAACTAAAAAGAAGTTTTTTACAAATCATTTTGCCTTATTATATAAACATCGAGCAAAATATAATTTTTCATGAAAAGTATAAATTATTAGCTTAATGTCAAAACTGATTGTTATATATCATTTTAAACATATTCTTATCACATATCAACATTAATAAAAACTAAATAGATTCAATTTATAGTGAATTATTTGTGATAATCAGTGGCTTCCAGCTTTACAAATTAATTTTATAACAGACTTTATCATGCTTTGTACATATTAATACCTTTAAAGTACAGCGTAATTGTGCATAATTTTGTGTCTAATTATGTTTAATAAAACATTATATTGTTTAATAAAGTTTGTACCTTTTAAAAAGAAACTATGACTACCTTGTATTAAAATTTATTTATTTGATTTCAATTTAAGGTGCCATGAACAACATAGGTTAGAGAGGTATCATGTATTAAATTTTAAAATTCCTACAATTTTTAGTGATTAAAATGAAAATGTTCAGCAGCTCAAGCATCAATGCTGATTTCTGTTAAGACCAATAAATCAATTTTCAATTAAATTTATATTTTAAAAACAAAATCAAAATAATTTTCTATGGGGAGTAAATGAGGAGATTCATATGCCCAAAGAAGAAGTGAAATCAAGAAATGTGATGATTTTTTATTATTAATCATTTATTCTCCTAAATCACAAAAATATTTTTTAGCTTATTTTTTCATACATAAGACAATTTTTCCAGTTCAAGAGTAATAGGTAGTAGTAATAAATGTGCACGTTCATACCTTAAATACTAAGAGAATTATGCTCTAAACTAAGATAAGATGTTTTGGAAGGAGTATTTTAAAATTTATTTTTTATAATAATATTATGAGAAGATAAATTTTAATTCTCCCTAGTTAATGTTAACGGATCTATTTAAATAAAATAATGAGGGAAGAGAAACTTTTTATCAAAAAAATTAACTTTATCTCATATGAAAATAAAGTCTTTAAGTAGCTTGTTGATTCCATATAGTTTGTTGCAATTACATCACAGTTAAAACTAATTTCATGTCCTAAACACCTGTTCGTATCACACTTAACTACTTTCAGTTTAAGGAAACCTTACATATGTGTTTTTCTCACTTGTCTTAAATGGATAAAAGAAGCCCAAATATGATAGTCTACCTTGACAGATATAGAAATACTCATAGCTACCCTTGTGAAGGTTTTAAATTGATTTTTATCATACCTGAAGCCTTATGACATTATTCAATCCAAACACGTACTGACTACGATGGGCGAATTCCTCTAAATGGGGGCTCTATCTATAGCTTTCTAACAGTATATTTTTCATGTCATTTAAATTCTCATTTTGGGAAATTTGTTTTCAACATGGAAAAATGTTTTTCTTTTTTTAAGTTATCAAATGCTTTCATGGTTTGAATTTATATCCAAATTTGATTACTATTAACTATGAGAGATGGTTAATTATGAAAAAAAAACTTATAGGCAATTTTGAGGAAGCAACATTAATTTGCAAATGGTAAAAAGGTGACACTTCTGGTAATTCAATTTTAACGAAAAAGTTGCTGTAACATCCCAGATATATGCGTTAAATATTTAATTTCAGTTTCACATGACTTATTGTTTTTGAGTTGGAAAAAGACTTTTTTGGAAGACTTGGTTATTTGGATCCAGGTAGCTTGAAAATGCGTAGTTTTGTTGAAAAAACAAATTTGAAATACTTCCTCTTAATGCTAACCCGTATTGCCTATCAGGCACGGCAGAGATGTAAATAAATATAAATAAAAATAAAAAAATATAACTTCCTCTTAATATATATTTAATATTTATGTAAGTTAAAGTAAAAATGTATACATCATTTCAGTCAGGGGGTGAATCTCTGGTGGTGGCAGAGTATTGACCATAATGTCTTCCATGGTTGGCCTAAGGCCATTCAGTAGTTATTTTGGATTTCATAAATTATTTTTTTACCAAACATTTTGGCTTATTCAGAATGGAATATTGATCTACTTTAAGGGACAAAATTATATAGGACCACCAGAGATAGTTAGTTCAGAATGAATTACAACAGGGTCAAATTTTCAGTATCTGATTTAAAACAAATTTAAATGTTGTAAAGCCTTCTGAACCCAAAAAGTAATTTTTGGTCATTGATCTGAGTGTTTGTGCCAAGATTCTCCTGAAAAAGTTTTTTTTTTTTGTTTGGTTACGTCATATTAATCTATCTAAGGCCTATCTATTAAAAATAAGTAAATACAATATAATATTCAAAAGCAGTTATATTTAATTACTTAATTAAATTAAACATTTGGCTATAGGTAATTATAACCAAAGAAATCTCAAAAGTAATTTGGACTTACATAAAACAAATATATAGAACTATTAAAAGAGATATTCGAAAACAATAGGAATAGTTCAATCTGAGTTGTTAAGACTGATAAGGACTCACCTAATGAGAACTTATATATAGATTTACATGTTCTCGGAAATTGAACTTCTTAATTGATAATTTTGTACAGTTTCATAAACTAAGTTCTCCAAGAACAGTGATTATTGTTGTTTTCTTATTATCACTTTGACTATTGTTAAGTTGATACTCCAACTTTATATCCAGTTCAGACTTCCTGCATAACTCTTCTACAGCTATTATGATCTTGTAGGGCTGCCTTCCAGTTCTTCACAGCAAGTATAGATCTAGTAGTCCGAGAGCTCTTGAAAAATAAATTACATTATTTGAAGAAAATCTTTAAAGCACTTGTTTGATTATTCATAACATTTATATTTAAAAAATGATAGTCTGCCAGTCGGATCACGACAAAAAAAAAAAAAAAAAAATGGCAGATGATTAAATGAATATCAGGCCATTATGAATATCAGTAAATTTCTTTCCAAAAAAATGTGGGAAACGTTTTTATTTATTTAACTTATATATATGGGTTTAAACATATAAAGCAAAATTAATAACGCAGGCCACCAAGAGAAAACTATTTACAACCAAAAAAGATAGATTTGTTTGACCTTTTTTGTTTTTAAACCGATATTATGTTTTACCTATATATTATGTTTAGATAATTGTTCGAAGAACAATTTAACGTTCTGTAATCTCTTAAAGAATACGTTTTTTCACTTCGATGCACCGTTTATGAGTTATAGGTGAAAAAACTAAAACAAAAATTCTGGCTTTTTAGATGTACAAAGTTTTTCCTTAGAGGCCCTCGTTAAAAATTTCGTTTTCCACATGTTTTAAACCCATATAAACAAGTTTAACAAATAAAAACTTTTTCTACGCCTATCGCAATAAATTTCCCGTTTCGATCCTCAAGTTACTGGCCTATATTTTTTTAAATCAGTCACCATTTTTTTTTCAGATAGCATAGCATGATCCGACTGGCAGATTTTCATTTTTTTTTATGTACATGTTAAACAAATGCTTTCAAAATTTTCTTCAGATAATGTAATTTTTTTTTAAAACGGGCTCTCGAACTATAGCATCAACAGCCAAGCCGTCGTTCTATTGAAGTCGAGGTCGTCCTCAGTTTCTTAAACCGTGAAATACTTTTGTAACAATTTAGGAACTTCTTTTAATTGATTTTTAAAAATCGAAACATCAATACATTTTTAGGTTCATTCAGCGACCATTCTTTAAAAACAATCAAAAAATTTCACTTTACTTCAGGAACCATATTTAACATTCTCTAAAAACAGATCAAAACCAATATGCAGGACTTAAAAAATGATACTCATCATTAGGAGAAGGTTTGAATGTGAATTACGGAAGTGGATGTAATGTTAAGTAAAAGAAAACTGACAATTTAGATCAAGGGTGTCCTAATAACGGCCTATTTGCCAAGCACATTCAATTTGGACCGAGAAAGTTTCTTTGATTACATGGCAAAATATTAAAATACTATTTATAAAATATGAAATTTAGTAAATTACTCAAACTCGAGCTTAATACAACATTCAATGCATGAGTTTTTTTTCTTATAAATCTCTTTTTAACAGCTGAATGTCATTTACAGAATTGAAGAGAAGTTGGTAGTGGTAGAAATAAATAAACAACAAAGTAGAAATAAATAAATTATATTTATTTTTATTTTTGTTGACTTTTCGGCCCAATGTTCAGGCCTTCATTCACCTAAGAAAAAACAAAACATAGACACTAGAAACTAGTAGACGGTAAAAGTAATAATATGTAGGTAAAAGGCATAGTTTAATAACATGTTGGTAGAATAAATTAATAGAATACATTAATAAATATGTGGAAAGGCAAATATATGATATATAAATAGAGGAAATATAAAACAAAGCTTACAAAGTTGGGAATAAAAAATAGCTGAAGTAAAGTTAAGATATATAAGATAACGGTAACAAAGTTAGGAACTTATGGAATTAGCAATAATAAAATCACGGTAACAGCATAATGAAATTAACAAAGAAATGCAGTGGAATATTAAGAGATAAAAATCGTAAGTGATAGACATAAAATAAATAGGGTGACGTAGTTGCTTGAAGTTGATGCCTTATGTTAAGAGGAAGAGAAATTCCATTACATTTCGTTGTTAATTTCTTTATGTTGTTATCATTATTTTATTATAGTTTCTAAGTTCCCAAATCTGTTACCGTTATTATTTATTTCAGAAGTTCCTAACTTTGTTACCGTTAACTTATATATCCTAACATTGTTACCATTATCTTATATATCTTAACTTTGTTACCGTTATGTTATATATACTAGCTTTGTTACCGTTATCTTATATATCCTAACTTTGTTACCGTTATATTATATATCCTAACTTTGTTACCGTTATATTATATATCTTAACTTTGTTACCGTTATGTTATATATACTAGCTTTGTTACCGTTATATTATATATCTTAACTTTGTTACCGTTATGTTATATATACTAGCTTTGTTACCGTTATCTTATATATCCTAACTTTGTTACCGTTATATTATATATCCTAACTTTGTTACCGTTATATCATATATCTTAACTTTGTTACCGTTATGTTATATATACTAGCTTTGTTATCGTTATCTTATATATCCTAACTTTGTTACCGTTATCTTATATATCCTAACTTCCGCTACTTTCTATTCCCAACTTTGGTTAGCGTTATTTTATATTTCCTCTATTTATATATCATATATTTGCCTTTCCATAGATTTATTAATTTTAAGTTTATTCTACCTACATGTTATTAGACTGTGCCTTTTACTTACTTATTATTACTTTTACCATGCTATTATTACTTATTACGTGTCTTTTCTTATTCCAGATGAAGACCTGAACCTTGGGCCGAAATGTTGGCAAAAATAAATACAATTTATTTATTTTCACTTTGTTATTTGTTTGAATAAACACCTCAATCAATTTATCTTCAATATGTCTACGATAGTCAATCATTAATTCACTGTTATTTATAGAACAAGTTTTATTTTCATCACAAGCCATTGCGCTCGGGATTTCGTTTAGTGGAGTTCTCATTGCGACCGGCGGGACTTGGTAGGGGCCAAGGGCCAAATAGTTGAAAGATCCCTGTGCTACACACGCAAACATGACTCTCGTTAATAAATTAGAACAAAGGAAATAAAATAAAAATGTCTGAGAGCTATTTCTTAATTTCTAGCTTAAAAAAGAGAAGAAATACAAAAGTTATTAAGATGGGTTGGCAGAGCGTTAATTGTGCTTTTTAACAGCTTTACTAACTTTAAATTTGGCGCATTGGCCGGAAGCTCCTCTTAGTGTTGCACGAGTTCGCCATCACGCTGCCAACTAATTGTGGTTGACTTTTGTGTATTTTTTAATAGCTGATACTTGAAGCAGATTATTTAGGGAATGAGGGATAGGTCAGGGTAGCCATAGCCTTGGAGTAGACCTAATTTCTGAACCTTACCCGTCTTCTCATACTGGCCCCTGGACTAATAGTTCTTGTTTAATGTATTTAATACGGTTTTATTTCCAATAAATGTTTTCATAAAAGAGATATAAAGAGGAGGAGGCGGGATGCCAGCCCCCCCACTTCAGACGGCGGGGGGCGGAGCAGAGGCAGAGAGCAGTGCGCGATGAGCAGACTCCGATGACGGTCAGTTACCAGTATGAGGTGGCCTCCTCCACCAGCGGGGGCTTCACCCGCCTCCTCTTCATGTGGCGGGGCAGCCTCTACAAGCTCATCTACCGAGAGCTCATCCTCTTCCTCGTCGCTTTCGGCATCCTCAGCGCCCTCTACAGGAACGCCTTCACTCTCGAGCAGAAGCGGTGAGCATTCTAGAGTGCGTGGCTAAGCGATCCGCATATTACTCTATAATTGTGGCTATTTAGAGTTATCGAATTTAAATCACTAAATCATCTCTGAAGAATATTTTATTTTTTTTACAAAAACCAACTTACTCAACAATGGCAGAGAAGCTACTGACACACTTAGGAAAATTGTGCCAAGTCTGTTTCATCCTGTATGTTTGGCAGACGATGAAATAGTTCTTTTGTTTTGGATCTTTTTTACTTCGCTACCGCGAATCACTTCTCAATAAAAACATATGATTTCTTTTTCACTGCTTACATGCTTGTTAATAACTATCGTTACGTAGTTATACCCTCATTTTCAAATAAAGAAATAAATAGTTACATGTTATTTCACCTACAACCAATTCATCACTCTGGGATAAAGCAGATAATTGCAAAACATTAATTTTTTTTTTAGCATCAAAGCGCGCCAGAATGTACACAATAAATAACCCAATCAGTAACAGTCAAAAACAATTTAAATTATAATCATAAGTTTTTACTGAAAAGTGATCAGCGATAGCGAAGTTAAAAAAGTCTCCTTGTTTTTTCTAGAAAGCTTATAATTGCCTTACATAGAGCTGTGGTTAGACAACTAAGAGGGTAAAGCAGGGACACCAATACTCGGTGTTTCAAAAACTTTATGTCCGTGTTAAATCTAGTATACCCGCCTATCTTAACCTGTAACCAGAAATCACCAATAACTGCGTTCCCTAGAGCTGCTAATCGACAAATTTTTTTTTTATGCTTGATATTTACTACTGTAGAAGAAATAAAAATACATTCAGTAAATGTGAACACAAGAATGTAATAACATGAAACCACTTGTTGAGAAACTACCCACTGGTATAACTCTAAAAATGTATTTACAATAGAAGATCTCGAAGCCATCTTCTTTTCAGACGCTTCGCCTCGGAGGGTTATCAGGGATTGAAGATGAAGCAAGGTTAGAAACAAGAGGGTTTGGATGGTTCTGAAGTTTGTTATGGGAAGATGGATATCTGGATTAGGCCAGGTCAGAAACATAAGGAACATAAAGTTCGTTGTGAATGATTTTATTTTTGACAAAATAAGGAGCATTGAGGATTTTACGAAGGATTTTGGATTGTAATATGGGATACGAGAACAATTCGATGGCTTAGTGGAGCCCCAAAGCTCAATTCCGTAAGTCCTAATAAGTCTAATTGTAATCATGTATATGAGTCCAACGGTTTCTTTAAAATAAAATATTTGATAAGTAATTAATTTATTTGTTTTTTGTTTTTTGTATACTCTGCCATTGGCCATTGACAACTTCGCTATTGGACCATTGGTAACACTTTCATATTAAACTCTGTTATAAAATTTCAAAGCTTTTAAGAATGCGATTTTTTTTTAGTTGCATTTTGCTATCATTTGAATTTTCTTTTAGATTTGATGCCATATTCTAATTTTCCCTTTTAGTTTTCAATGTAGGGCAGTGTTGTGAATCGTGTTTAACTATTCTTTTGGCATTACAGCTCTCGCAGGTTGGATGATCATTTCCTATTGGGAAATAGGCAAATGCATTTTTAACTACTTATTCTATTCATTATTCCAATCTACATCACTAGTTTTTTTTTTTCAAGAACGCAAGCTAAACTATAAAGTTAATATGAGAAGGAGTTAGTCGAGTGTGCGGTCAAATAAATAAAAAAATTAAAATATATAAATTATTTTAATTTTTGCCGACGTTTCGACCCACTTTGCAGGTCGTCTTCAGGGCGTAAAGATGTGGCACTGCGGGAGGCAGTTGAAACACTGGCCACAGAAAGAAAAGTTATAAAGTTAATAGTGTTGGAGAAATGGATTATTGTAGATTCTTATAACCCGAGAAGTTAGTTCCTGATTGGAATCGATTGAAGTTCACAAAAAAATACTTATTACCTTTGTGGTGATGTTTCGGACTAAGTTTAAATAAAAAAAACAAAACAAGAACTGACCAGACGATACAAATAACTGTTACATTTTTTAGACAACAGATCTCTACTTACAAAACGAGCGACTATTCAACACGACTATAATAAGAGTTATTTGGAAATATGGAGCAGAACTTTGGGATTCCACAAAACACGTCTACATAAACAAAATTCAAACTGCATTGTCCACAATACTTCGAAAAATGAAAAATAAATAAACTCGTAAATGAGCCATTGTTCATTTCAAATCACAACGACACCAACATACTAACAGGAAAATCCTACGTATATAACAAGTACACATCAATCCACTCTTCAACTATTACTCACCCAAACCCACTAGTCCTCTTTCTACCTCCTTGTTACCTGTTGAACCTCAAAGAAGATCACAAAGGCAGTAGCCTAGAGATATGCTCACAATATAGATAATTACCAAGAATAAAGAAGACAGAACGAACGACAACACATTTTCTTGATGCGTTGCACTGCAGTTGCCAATATACTGTAAAATAAATAAAAAAGTTTCAGACCTTCACCAGGGCTAGTGTTGCCCAAAATCGGGTCCTTTTGCGGGGGAGTCTTGCACTTTGCAAGAACAAGACCGCCTAATTGTTGCAAGACCAAGAGCAATATCGGTAAAAAAAAAAAGTTACGGTGAATAAAAATTAAGGCAAAATAGTTACGAATACTTGACAATTTTAGTTACTATGTGAAAAGAATTGGTATAAAAAAAATACTTTTGGATATAACTCTTCCAATTTTTCATTTGTGCTTAGTTAGGCAAGCCCCAACCTGCAAAATTACAGTAATATTTCTATAGCAATAAGCTAATAGGTAACTGCGAGACTCTTGTGCAATACCAAGACCAAGACTGAATGCGCAAGACCAAGATGAGTCTTGGTCTCGCATTTGGGGAACACTAACCAGGGCTAAGCAAATACCAGAAATCAACGTTAAGATAATAAGAAACAGAAAGAAAAGTTATAATAAATAAAAAGGTACAAATTGTATGAAAAGTAATGCGTCATCTACTAAAATAAATACTAAGAAATGAATAAAACGTGAATGAATGAATAGATGTGTGATAATACATGAAAGTATTTGGTAAATTAGATTAAAGTATATAATTAGTGAGAAAATATGCACTTAGATATATGTAAAACAATTAGGCTCGTATATAAAAGCAGTTAAACATAATATTAATAAATAATAAAAGGAAAATATATGATGTATACATTTTGCAAAGCTATAAAGTAACGGCGACAAAGTCAAAGTAAACAATGATAAAATAACGGTAACAAAGTGGTATTGTAAGCAATGATAAAATAATGAACAGACAAAGAAATTAAATGAAATATGAAATGATATAAATACAGCGGAGAAGAAAGTAGTAAAATAAAATATGATGATAGTTACTATAATCTGATATCATAATATGTTCAGATATAATGAAAGAGCTATAATTAATTATTATAGTTTTATTTAATATAATTATAATAAAATAAAAATACATGGAATATTATGTTGTTTAAATAAAATAATATAAATTAAACAGAAAATAATAAGATGTATTGAAATCTACAGAAACACATCATAAACGTAGAAATGAATATTAAAAAGTTGAATCTAGACATTGATAAAAAAAGTTGGTTAATGGAAAATGGAAACATAAATCCATCAAATGCCACAAAATAAACGAAAATTTTACATATGTAACAAATCTGTTAAAAATTGCTTTCAACCATTATCAAAATGTAAAATAGCTAAAAAAAAAACGTTAACAGGTATCCTTGGCTTTTCACGGATTTCGGATAGCTTATTTTTCGTGGCATTAAAAAGACAACGGTTTTCTTAGATAAAAACGTTACAAACATCCAAAGCAGAAAGAAACTGGACATTAAACAACATGGCTTCGGACAGAGTCCTACATGAGAAGGTTTGCCGGACCAATGTTAACGGGGTCCGCAAGTTCAAGGGGTCATGTAAAAAAAGAATTAAAGTTTAACAGGTTTTTTAAAGTTGGAATATAAAATACCATTAGACTAAACCATCTAGTTCCTCTCTCATCTAATCATAAATCCGCAATGCTCCTTACTTTGTCACAAATAAAATCATCCATAACGACTTTAATATATCATATGTTCCCGATTCGTCCCGAACCAGATATCTATCCTTCCATAATAAACTTCAGAACCCTCTCGTTTCTAACATTGCTTCCTCTTCGATCCCTGATAACACTCCGAGGCGTCAGAAAAGAAGATGACCTCGAGATCTCCTATTGTAAATAAATTTTTAGAGTGCTACCAGCGGGTAGTTTCTCAACAAGTAGTTTCATGTTATTATATTCTTGTGTTCACATTTACTGAATGATTTTTATTTCTTCTACAGATGTAAAGCATAAAAAAAAAAATAGTCGATTAGCAACTCTAGAGAACGCAGTTATTGGTGATTTCTGGTTACAGGTTAAGATAGGCGGGTATACTAGATTTAACGCGGACATAATTGTTTTTGAAACACTGAGTATTGGTGTCTTTGCTTTGCCCAATTAATTGTCAAACCACAGCTCTAAGTAAGGCAATTATAAGCTTTCTAGAAAAAACAAGGGGACTTATTTAACTTCGCTATCGCTGATCACTTTTCAGTAAAAACTTATGATTTCAATTTAAATTGTTTTTAACTGTTACTGATTGGGTTATTTATTGTGTTCTGGCGTGTTTTGATACTAAAAAAAAATTAATGTTTTGCAATTATCTGCTTTATCCCAGAATGATGAAATGGTTGTTGGTGAAGTAACATGTAACTATTTATTTCTTTATTTGAAAATGAGGTTATGACTTAAAATGTATCTGTGATAAAAGCAAAAGGAAATATAGGAACGGCATTCTATAAAACTAGAGTCAAGAGAAAATGAAATCCGGTGTTTCACGATTTTCTCATCGATTTCAGACAAATATATACAACTTTAAATACGTCTATTTAAAAAAAATTGAATTTGAGTGACTTTTCTTAAAATGACTGTAAGTAGAAAATTATAGGAAA